TCGCTGTAGATAAATTATTTGCACCTTTTAAAAGTTGTCACTTTAGTTGTGATGCAGAATGGTTCCTATATTTTAAACAATTATAGTTTGAATTATATAATGACGACAATATTGTCGTTGAATATGCGTTTAATGAATGATGTAAATATATTCACAGGTTCCCGATATTTACAAGGATTTATTAAGAGACAAAAGAATAGGCTTATAGGTATGATTGGTTATTTTCACTTAATGTATGTGCACTATTGCATTGTGGATTTATCCATCATAAATTAAGAAATCAATATTCTTTTGATAGAAATATCATAACCTGATATTTCCCAGACGCTGACACCTGTATTATGTTAAATGCCAACACATATGACGTAAAACAGACGGACACTTTTTCCAGGAGTATTCTGGCAAAGACAAACATATTAGAACGTTGTTTTACCTATAAATAGATTTTATTGCCTCACATAAAAATATTTATATTTTATTGAAAGTAAAGCATATATTATTGTGTAAGAGAAAAATGAATCATTTATGTTGTTATCAAAGAACAACATAGAATAATGTGTTACAGAAAAAACATGCATGTATTTATCTGCTTTAAAAGAAAGCTTAAATTAAGTTCTTATAGAAAAAACATACATTTTAAGTTATTAAAAAACATAATATATATGATTAAGAAAAGCATACATTTATATATTATAGAAACTATTAGGTATTAAAGTTTTTTTTAATTTATTTATGAAAACTAACGATCAAGTTGAGTTGGACGTTGCTTGAATGAGTCTGATTTGGTTTATATGCTGTACATAATATAAATGAAGAGCTTGTTATATATTGTCGGCTACATTAGTGATCTATTGTCACATCTGTATGGCAATGATGACAGTCGCGGATGTGGTAATTATGTTCATGTGGGTTTTGTCAGGCAAACGACAAATATATGGTCATATAAGGTTGATGTAAAAACGTCTGATTTTCTTGAATCATAATTTTGGAATAACATATTCTCTGATATATATCAAATTGGCAACGGAATTTTGGACCTGGATAAATACATATTATCATCTTGACCTTGCGATGTAAGTTTCTTTTCTTTTTTTGTCGTTCGTAATAGCATTAATATAATTAAATAGATAATGTATGAGTATTATATTTGAATGTCAATAATGAGCCAATCAATGGGCATGCTCTGGAGTGCGGGTAACTAATACCCGCACTCCAGTTAACGCACTGTGCATGTTTAACTATACGATTTAACCCTGACACATTTTCAACAGAAAGGTCTCCAAACTATGATACAAAAGATACATTGAACGTGGATTCTGTCTCTCTCAGGAATATCTTTCAATTAATCAAGATGTATTTCCGAAATAAAAGCACGTTGATTGTATAATAAATAGTTGATATCTTAATTTTTAATAAGAATCTCCACCTACTTTACATCGTCAAATCTCTTTACGTTGATTGACAATACAATTTATATGAATATTCTACCGATTGAAATGCACGTACTGTTTTTATATCAATATTTTATTATATTACTCATACAGATTTTGCATCCAGAGTGCTTGTCATTTGTCAGGGTATACACGCTGATAATTCTAAAACAAGATTCGTATTTCATACTGTTAATTAATAACTTAAATAAAGTTTAAATCAAACAAACCAACGTAAAAAAATATGTATTATACAAGGCCATGCAAACTTAGAGCATTATGTGCACTTAAGTCACTCAACAATCGCTTTTACCGTTGATTTTAGTTTATTTCCATTTTGTCATGTAGCACAAAATTCAAAATGTATTTATAACTTCCGTTTGTAACAGTTTTTGAACATATTCCACCAAAAATTGTACAGTTAAATGGGTTTTTTATTATACATTTTTGGTATCTTTTTATACTGGTAGGCGTATAACAGTCTTTAGGCGATTTGAAAGTATCGCGTAGTTTGTTTTAGTTAACTGAATCTAGCTGGACAAATCGCCTTCTCAGTTTATAAAATGACTGAAATAATTTATTCAGCAAACATTACATTATGTATTTGATGAAATATTATTCAAAATAACAAACATTATTCATAAAATTGTAATTGCCAGATGAATATTGTTCTTCTCACAAGATAATAGTAAGATTAGGTCCGTACATAATTGTCCTTTCAACAAAATGTATTATATATCCAATATTCTTGAGGCTGAGTTAAAGACATTTGTTTTAACATTAGTGATGTCTGTAAATTGACATCTATATGTTACAGCTTCTTAGTGTATCGTCTTTCTGCAAAACATTTCTAACCTTTGGTTGGAAAATATTGTCCCATACTTCAACTCATTGTATTGTATTGCTCTTCGGTATCATTAAGCGTTGGGAAGAGTTGAATGCAGCTTAAATATGTGATAGGGGACGTGTCTTTCACTTTCCAATATTTAAATTGAACAGACGCAATTAAACAAAGTATGTTACTTTACAGCTTTAAGTTTTTGTTTTCTTAACTTTGGTGGAATCTAATTTGTCCCAGAGTTTTATATAAAGTTGAGTTTGTGGACAGTAGCTTGCATTTACATCCACTGACCATGAACATGCTCAATTAGACAGAGTCTGCAACATTTTTTTTCAGTTTTGCCGTTTTGGGCGTTCTTTAACGGATTCCGTTTTTTCTATTGTAACACATTTGAGTTTCAAATAAAGTACCGAAAATCTCAAATAATATAAATCACACACCATGTAGTGGTCTGTCAACAAAAACATTTAAATCTTATATGTTTAATGAAAAGGTCAGCATGGGGCATATATACAACTTTCGGTACATTTTCAAAATTTTGAATCACTTACTTCGTCCCTTATTTGCACGGCATGGTAAAAGGAATCCAATCTCAGAGCATCTTGTGTTTCTATTATTCAGATTTCATAACAAATTTACTACAATTGACTCGAAGCTAAAACGCCGCCATTCATGAATATGTAAAGAAAGTTTTCAAGACAATCTATGGGAAGACATTCTTTCTCTGCCAAAAAACAAGATAGAAAATATCTATGCTTGATAGAGCAGTAATTACATTTTGAAGACATCACTATTGATGTCGCCATGTATTATAATATAATGTATATGTACTTATATCGCCTTGTGGTCATAGATTTCTTAATCGGCTCCTAGAATAGGTGCAGTAAAGAAAGTTGGTTGCTTATGCATATTCGAGATAACCGTAGACGTGTGCTTACATATATGACATGAAAAATATAATGATTCGTTTACAGTTTTATTTTAAGATATGTTAGTCAAAAGGTAGCTTGTTGAGATGATTTATATATTAAATTCTATGACATCAGTGTTTACTCTCGCGGGTGCAAATGCCGTTGTCCCGGTGTTGTTGAAAGTGACAAAATAATAATGTAGCAAGATGTTTGGATACGAGTATATACTTTAAGATAGATGAACACGTAAATGCTTGCTTTTGTTCTTCATGCAAAACTCAACGTGTCAATATTAACTACAAGATGTATTTAGATGACCTGTGGTGTAAAACGTTTACAAGATCTTGTTTTACATCAGTTTAAACTTTGTTCAACTTTAGCGTCATCTTTGTTCTAACCTTGAAAATTATCGTCGTTTTTGTTCACTTCATATACATTACAATTGATGCGCGACATTATATAAATGTCAAAAAGAATAATGCTTCTTAGGACATTTATAAAGCTAATTGTTTAGTTTTTATGAACTTTTTTCATTGACGATTTCTTTTTCTGATAGCTTTGATTAATTACCGCTGTTTTGTTGTCGGAAAAGAGTGGTGAGATATTCAATCCAGAAGAAACAAAATTACGTTAAGCTGTTTATTAACGTGCTGTTAATGTAAACTTCAAGTGCTATAAATTCATTGACTTAAAAAATGTAAAATACAAATGCATTGATTTAAAAATGATAAAAATGTTTACTTTTAAATGCAAAAACTAGAAAATGTTTACTTACAAACGCATTGACTTGAAATTGTTTACGTACAACTTTAATTAGCAAATAATACTTTTAATATTTCGTTTACTAAATTTCGCATTTAAGTTCTTTAGCTTGTACAAATAAAAAAAAGTTTCCTTTTTGTAGGATTTGAAACTCCTAATATTACTTTAACACGAGCATTTGCAACAAAAAATATGAAAATTGCCAGATATATTGGTCGTATAATTTTTTATTGCTTGGTCCAATTACACAAAGCAAAGTTTTGATTGCCTGTACAACACTCAGACTTAGTAATACAATTTAAATAATACTGCATTGTAATATATTATTAATAAATAACGGGCAATCTGACATTGGCAAGTGTGAACTAACTTACTTGTGTCATACATTAATGTTTATCGTGGGACATCAAGTCGCGTGATGCTATTGAGGTGAAATTGTAGATGGCTTTCAAATAAATAAGGCTATTGTCCACGTTGATTATCATAGAGCAGACGATCAATTTCTCAGAATCTGATATTTCATCAATTAAACAATTAAACATAATTACTTCTATGCATGAAATTTCAATTATTTGATTAAAATAATAATAATAATAATAATAATACGATTGTCATTCTTGTATAGGTTATGGTATTTATTTACATTTTTATTCACTTCATCGACTGGCTGTTAAAATCACTGTTAAAATGCTATCTATCACGCCCCTAGCACCGCTTAGGTGGTATTTATTCTTTTACACAAAATGTACTTTTTTCAACTGGAATTTAACTTTGAATGAAACATAGATGTAATGAAAGTTCAGGTTATTTTCGTTATTTACACTCCTAATTAAACAAAAAATACTTCAATGACACATAACCAGTACAGCCTATATGCCTGGGGTTTACATGAGAACTATCATATAATGCTAGCATAAGTAAAGTGGGTTATTGCATTTCCAATGAAGGTATAACTAAAATTATCTTTTATAGATTATATCTGTTTATCATGCAGCCAGTTCATTCACTATTGATGTAAATAAAACATGTTATATGCATACGTGGTAAATTATATATTCGGCGTGAATAGTTTTACAAAATATGTTAGGCGATAACATTTTAGAACTATAACTAAAACATTTTACAAGCAATTTATAACAAATATTTGTTTATAGTGCAGTTAGTTTATTGAAATATTTTGGGAGGCTACTCACTGATTATATTTAGTGTTTACATTCCAATTTAAGGACAGTTTTCTAAAGTACGAAGGATTTTCAAACAGGTATGATTTTATATGTTAATATATTGGTTATTTTGTCATGAGAAACACAACTATTTTTGGTTTTGCAATACTTATCCTATATTTGTTAACCATAGGGTAAATGTGTTATTTGTCGAATATACATGCTTCATTGTGTACATACATCTTTTAAACATACTGTTGTGACTCACACTTTCCTTGTCACGTTATGTACAACATATTGTTAATTAATTAAGTAGCCAGGTTTTATATGTCGTTGAACAGCTATAGTAATGGTGAATAAGGATAAGGCCATTAGGATTCAGTTAAAGATTACGACTAAGAACAGAATGATATCTTATTTATTATAACATATTTATCATTATTATATTTGTAATATATCTGTTTACACTTGTGCACAGAGTGCAATTAAAGTCAGCAGCCTGTCGTCGTAATATGAGTGTATGTCATGCATATTTATTTCCATTTACGTTTTTATGAACTGAATCGTCAGTCAGTACACCTGGTAGTGGTCAACTATTGCTTTTGAGTGAGTCAAAAGGAAGTAGATGAAACTAGATTGTATAAAGGACTTTAACTTACTGAAATAATTCGTACATATGAGTATTTGATAGTTAACGTTTTATTGTTTTATTAACTAAGTGAATACTCCCAGTAGTAATGAACTATTTCTTGCTTTGTCGTAGACAAAAGTGGGAAGGCAGACAAAACACTTTACTATATAGCTTTCAGTAACTGTCTTGAACCTCTTTATAGAAATAACCCCATATATGTATCTACGTTCCAACAACTCCATTACGACATTTTTTCACTTCAAAATGCAACAACTGTATTGTAAGTGCTCGGATCTCTCCCACATAAACCATTCATTGCTATAAATTATATAAAAAATCAGTTTACGTTCCAGAATTTTATTAAATGACTTGACTTGGCAAACGAAAAGTGGTCCTGTTTTATTTATATATGAACATTATACATGTTTCGAGCTTTTCACCATTACAAACAGTCATGTTAAAAAAGTTTTTTATTGTTATTTAACGTTGCAAGTTTCATAAAATGATGTTTGACTGTTTTAATCAAGTATGAGAATTTGCCACATTAGACATATTTTATAATATAGTATATATCTATCGGTTTGATAAATTATTCTGTCGGCCAATTTATTAGATTAAATGAATCTTTGATCGAATTGACATGATAAAATGTGTAGTCTTTGTTATGCTCATTTGTTGAAAGTTTTCAAACACAAATATAAATAGTGTTTATAGTTTACTCTAAAAGGAAAAATATAGTAATACATCATGCAAGGATAATCTTTCGGTGACTCAATTTCTTTGGATCGAAATGAAAAAAAAATATGTTTTTATATTGTTTTTTTTTCAAGGTTCAAAATTTTCATTGGCAAACATTTTTCATAAAATCCATCGCCATGTTTGGGGGTTTACATACTTTTCTCATCATTTGTTTGTCAAACTATACTATTTTTAACGAATAAAGCATGATCGTGTTTTGTAAATTGTTTTTGTTTATAACGTAGATGCATTTTTTTATATTCTTAACAGTTTTTATAAATGTTTAGTTTTATAAAATATCTTATCGTCTTTTTTTTAAAAACCTTTTAAATTTTTAAAAAAGAGGGGGGAAATTTCCAAATCAAAAGGGTTTTGAATTAAAAGTTTTTTTCAATTTTTTTTAAGCAACCCATTGATTAATTATTCTTTGGGTTGCCCCTTTTTAAGCCCGAAAAAAAAATCGGGTTTTTGGGTTTTTAAATTTGCCAAAATTCTTGAAATATACATCTTTCATTTCAACTACTTTTTTGTTTATAGAGTTTGTAATTTTAAACCCTTTGGTTTGATCAACTCAGGTATTTCCCTTTGAATATTTTACAAATGTGAAAGTGTCAGATTTGCCATAATAAAAAAGCAGGTACCATCTATGGTTTTGGGTATGGGGTTTTTGAGGATAATTTATATATTTTTAAACCCTTCTAACCCTGTTTCAGTTGAAAACAGTACTTTTTCCTTTTGGGGGTTATTTTTAAATTAAAAAAAAAACAATATATTCAATCCCAAAAAAATCAAAAAGTAAGTATTTTTGGGTTTTTTATTAAAATCAACAGGGGGTTTGTCTGAATAATTTTAATTATATGAAAGGGTTGAAACTAATTTTTAACCCCCCCGAAAAATTTTTTTAAATCAAAATTTTTTGGGTCCCTTAGCTCAAAATTTTTTTAAATGGATCGGCCATATTTTTTTTTTTTTAAAGGGATTTTTGTCCCACAAAAATTTTTACATGGGCCTTTGTACAAGTTCCGGTGAAAATTATTTTTGTGCACTTTTCAAATAAAAAAAATTTTTAGACGTCACAAAAGATATGTTTTTAATTAAATTCAGAATGTTTTTGAAATTTCATTTAACGGGAGCAGAAGTTTTCATATAAAAAAATTGAAATATTATCCAAAAAAATTTTAAATTATATTTTTTCCATTTTTCATGTTTTTGTTTCAAATAAATTTTAAATTTTTTTTAAAACATTTCCTTTTTTCCCTTTAAATGCAAAATTTAAGGGACACATTTTTCTTTTTTCTTTTTTAACCCAAATTTTTAAATTTTTTCCCTTTTTTCAAAATTTTAAATTGCTTTGGAGTTTGGTAAAATCTTTTTTTGGAAAATAATTCAGATATTTTCGGGGAATGATAATTACGCCCAAAATCACTGTCCTTTCCATAATGCCCGGGAGAACAACATCAAAGTTTAATGTCTGTCTTTTTAAACCATCTTTTAATTTTTTCTTATTTTTAGAAAAAAAATTAAAATTAACATTACATGTATCTTTAAATATACTTTTTAAAATCCCAAGTGCTTTGGCATTTTTTTGATAAAAAAAAAAACAAATAAAATTTCCAGAAAAATAATTCTGAAAGAAAACACTATTTTATTTGGATCATGTTATTTAACCAAGTCTGACAATTATTGATCGTGTTTAACAGAATGACAAATTAAATTCCACCTCCTTGTTGAAACTTGTCAAGCTTGTCGTGACAGTCTGCGCAAACAAAAATGGCTTGTTCTATATAATTCTGTAGAATTTAATTATTCAAATGGCTATTCAAAAACTGTAATAAGTGGAGACGGAATAATGAAAATTATGTAAATTCATATTTTTGTATAGACTATACAAATTAATAGATATTATGATGATTTGCTGTTCCATAAAATCATTCTGGAAAATGTCTATGTGTTGGAAGATGTTTAAATGTTACAGACATGGCACAAATATATCTTTATCTCAAATCAATATTTATAACTATCATGGTAAAATGTAATGATTTTACCTGTTCTACAAAAAAAAAAAAAAACTTCATCAAATCCCACCTGTGTGATATATATTGAGATCTATAAATTTATTGATGAATATGATGTAATATGATTGAGTATTTGTTATGACATTTCGGAAGTTCATAATATAGAAATGATGTATAGAGTTTTGCTTATTAAATTGAGATCCTTGTCAGAAAGCATACTCAAAAATGTTTTTGATTAATTTATTCGTCCGACCTCTAAGCCAGACCGGTGCCTACCAGATGATTAAATTAATGTTTTAAATCTCTGAAATTACCAATGATCGTTTTCATTTTCAAATTAAATAAGGACAATCGGTTAAATTCATCTTTTTTAATTTCATCAGGCAAAAATACAACAAATTTAAATGTTGACATAAAATAGGTTAATATGAATTCATGAACGCAACAGTATTATAATGATTGTATGTCAACAATTATACTATTTTAAAGAAGTTTGATTTTTAATTTTTTAATAAATTTTTTATTAAATTTTAATTTTCTTAATATTTCATGCCGCATTTTCAAATTAAAATCTTTTTTCAAATTTAAACACCAGCAAAAAGTTAAAATTTTATATTTTATCCCAAAAATAGTTTAAGAATTTTTTTTTGTGTTTTAATACACCAAATTTTTTTTGGAAAAAGGGGAAACATAAAGTAGTTTTTTAGCCTACATGCCCAGGTTTTTTGAGAAAATATTATAAAATATTGCCAGGGAAAAATCAGTGGGTTTTTATTGCCCCTGCCCCCAATTTTAGTTTTTTAACGAAAATAAAAAATTTTTTTAGATATATGTTTATCTTGCAGTCAGTGCACCAAAGCATGTAGGTGAGTTAATTTGTATTTTATGGGAATGATTTATGAACGGAAAACATGTAGTAATAAACCGTTTAAAATATCGTAAATATGTAGTTTCTAGATTGTTGTGTTTATAGGTTTTCAAATAGTTTCAGAAAAACAAAACGTTCTTGTTCATTGCACTCGATGAAAAAACATTTAAATTTTGGACAAGATTCTTAACAATCACAAACCTGTATAAAAACCTTGTATATTGATACAGAAGCTATATATGACGTTATAACATTGAGTATCATGAAATGATATAAACAAGCAAGTATTTGTTGCAATAAATCTATACTGGTTCAGCATTCGGTAAACGAATATACATGATGCATTGTATAATAAAACACCTCTTAACACCTCCTTAACACCATTATGGGCTCCCCCCTAAACCCTTTTTCCTTATTTCTAGCAATTTTAAAGGTTTAAAAAGGCCCCTTTTCCCCGACTAAAAATCTTTTTAAAAGGGCTCGAAGTTTTAAAATAAAATACTGACTACAAAAAGAACGGGGGGGTTTAACCAGTTTTTGCCACGTTTTTTTTTCTTTGGGAAAAAAAGGTTTTTAAAAGGGGAAAAAAAAAAAGCCGCAGGAAAGGGTTTTTAAAAAAGGGTTTTTTTTAAGTTTTGAAAAAGTTCATTTATAGCAGCTAAAAATAATAAAAAAAATTTTTTTATTGCAAAAGGTTTTAAAATCCACAAAAACCCCCAAAAAACTTCCCTTTATACGTCGTTTTAAAAATTTTTTTTTTAAGCAAGTAAAACTATTTTTTTGTTTTTTCTTAACCCCGAAAAATTTTTAAAAGGGCAAACGGAAAAAAAAGGTAGTCATTTTGTT